ATTGATATTTTTGTATATATATATATATATAATATTTATATGTATATATATATGTAAATACGTGTTTGTGTGTCTACTAGTTTTGCTTCACATTTATTCACGTACATGTATGTATATCTATTACTGTCGTCTGTATAAAAGCTTGTTTAGCACAGACGATCGGTAATTAGTGTTTTGAAACAAAAATTATAAGAATGTTCAAAGGCATAAAACAGTTCTAGTGGATCATTTACCCTTAACTTGGTACTTATTCGAAAAAAAAAGAAAGAACCTTTGCATGTTATTTTTTATTAATATTTATCTTTTGAGTGTTTAACAAAAATTACAAATTCATCACATGTACAATTCTCGATGGTACAACGTGTTCTCTACACAAAGGACATTGTGGTTTAGAATTCAACCAATCAGTAAGGCAAGACCAACAAAACAAATGACCACAGGGTGTGGTAGTTGTTGACATTCTTTCAAGACATAACCGACACTCTAGCTTACTATGTTTCTCATCAGCTTTTAAATATTTATCAGTATCATTTTCACTGTTGCTATTCCGCCACATTTTTAATGCACACTGTACAAGTGTCACTATCCCTAATAACCTTAATCCCCAACTAATAGTATCAGTTGGACGACGACCATACACCTTTAAATTTCAAATAAAATAATGGAAAAACACATCAATCATTATTGCATGAATATCTGGCAAAAATTACCTTTGCATAATCTACTCCTGCTGCTCTCTTTCCTAGACTATAATATCGACCAAACATATAAAACAATCCTTTATGTACTAATATTAAGATAGGTATCGTAGTATACATTTTTGATATAAAAGAGTTTAAGAACATTGCAGCTGCTGGAGTTAATTCACTATCAGGAGAATTAACAGACAATTCTAATCTTTTCAATAATCTCAACAGTACTCTTTCTCCAAAACATTCTAAAATCACTGCTAGCATTCTTGCCTGAACAATAAAGTAATATTGCATTTTAATAAAACATAGTGTATTTTGTGGTAGTACTTGAAGTACATACAAATAGTGTTGGAACTTTGTGAGCGTCTAAATTGGCTTGTACAATCCCAGTATACTCTTCACCTAGCGTTTGATTTCCCATTCCCGATGTGAAAAAGAAGTAGATTAACTTATATGGAATGTTAGAATGTATAAGGGGTAGCAAACCCTTTTGTTTTGCAAGCAATTGCAAAGCATCGACAACTTTTTCCCGCAAATGTTTGATAAAATCATCGTCCCTCTGATGCGATCGTAGAATTTCAGCTGGATTCGCAGTTTTTAATTTTCGATGTTTCTTCCTTGGGTCCATTTTAGACGAATAACGTTTAAAATATGTATATGAGAGGCTAGAGAATAACACGAGACGATTACCAACATTCAAAGTATTAAGGAATTAATAAAGAATACGACGCAAATGACTATTCATACAAAAAATTTTTCTTCGAAATAACAGATATAACCTCAAATATTCGGAAGAATATTATCACCTTTACCCTTATTGCCGTTTTACGTTACAATTACAATGGAAATATATATTCGTTGTCTACTGAATATTGAAGAAGTAACAAAGAACAATAAACATGTTGCATAAAGATTAAAGTACGACAATGAAATTCGATCATGCGGTAACATGAACAACATTGTCCATGCTGTGTATGATCATTGTGAAAAAAATTTTCTACAGATTTTCTTTACTTTTAAGAAATAATCTTTTTAGTTTATTATGTCTTTTGTATACCGTTTTATATTACACTGTTAATTTATTTAAATATTTTATTTTGAAATAAGTAATAAACGTATACGCATACATGCACAAAATATAGCACACACATGTATCAGCAAATAATCATAGTACTAAACATAAACTATTTAAAATATACAAAATAAAAAAAAAAGTACAATGTTATTTTATATTAAAAGCAAAGATTCATTTCATGAGTTTTTTAAACACTTTGCGCGCCACATGATTGTAACGCAATTAAATTTCAAACAGGAAAAAAAACTCACCGATGTTGCGATGCCTCATCGTTTCATGATATTCGAAAAATTCATAAAAACACACTAAACTTTGAATTATTTAACTTTTACTAAGACTACTAATTCACTTACAACTGATTCAAAACATAACGGCGAAATTAGAAAAAATGAAACGCAAACGAATTGAAATACTACGAACGCAAAAGTTCGTTGCGAGGGATTCAAATTTGGTCACGAAACTTTTTCTAAACAAGAAACGTAACTAACAAGTCGTCCTAGACACCGGCGAAGCCACTACGATTTTTTCAATTCGAAATTCGCATTTAGATCGTTACCGATTAATGGCGTCTCGGTGATTCGCGGGTAAAGCAGACGCGTGTCATGTTTGTCGCATCGAGCACGCCATCTGCGCAGCCCGTGGTTACATAGTCACGGGCAGAGGGCAAAACGGCGAGCAGCAGAGAGGCATCGCCCTAGATAACGGTAGAATCGTGGGCTGGTGTCGTGCTGCTTTTCGCGAAAGTGCTGAAAACCGAGATCGAACGTACCGAAAAGCATACGCGAGGAAAGAGAAAAAGCTTCGTTCCGATCGAAGTTGTTTTACGTTGGTGTGTGAACAGCCGCCTCGAGCCAGTGAGTATCAGGCTCTCTTCGTGGCGACCGAAGGAGGACCGTGCCCCGAGGAGCTTTGGTGCACCCGCGCCGCGCGAGACATTCGACCAGTGCGGAATTTCTCAGCCAGTGACACGTTCGTTTCGTTTTCGATTCAATTCGGTGGCCTGTTACGCGTTACGTCCGGCACCAGTCCACCGCGGATCCTCCCCGTTCTCTTGTTCGATGTGGTCGCTACGCCGACGGGACGACGAACCGAGCACAGGAGTAGGAAGCGAGTAATCGCCGGAGAATCTCCGTAGATTGAGATATAGTGGGCCGTGGACAAGGACGGAGAACCAGCGAGAGGGAAGAAGACAGTGAACGAAGGAGTGCGCGAGGAAGAAAGAGAGGGACGGATAGAGTGCGACAGAGGGCCATTAGATTCGAGGGGTACACGGGTACACGCATACGGTCGAGAGTTACGCTGTGAACAGATTCAACGAATATTTTCGAAGGCGCAAGGTAAGGGGAAAACCGATGTCTCTATAGGGATATTATAGCTTCTAAAAAAAGAACAGTGTCCAACCCCCCTGTGAGGCTCGTCGTGGCGTGGCACGCCAGGCAAACGCCGCCGGAAATCATGCACGGTGGCCGCCCGCGCGTTTTCTCAGGCGGTGCCCGATTCTTTGTAGATTTTCAAGATTAGAAAGAAAAAAAATCTGTTTGTCTGTTTCGTCCTTATTCTCTTTCTTTGCTAGTTCTCGAGTCGACTGATTATTATCTGTCTCGTTCGTGTACATTGGACCGTGCACGCCGGTTACTCGTGTCAAATGGTGTCTTCTCGATAGCTCGAAAGGGACCAGCTTTTCGTGCAGGTTAGGTTCGCTTATCTATCCCATCAATCCGTAACGCTTCGGCTTATCGAATCAGCGATAAACGTAGTCGGTTCGGGTTCGCGCGAAAAACAGAAGCTTCGAGTACACCGGCAAGGACGAATCACTCTGCACAGAGAGACTTTCTCGAATGTTTTCGTTCGTGTTCGTTCTTCTTGACTTGGTTCGGTGATTCACGTGAGTCACCGGCGGCGCAGGAAGTGACTCGAGAAGAAAGAAACCCGGCAATGTGCTGTGACGCTGCTAGCGCCTTGAATATTTGTTTCTCGTGTTTAGAAGCTGCGCCCTACGCTTCACTCGTTAACTGCCGTTCGCGATTTCTCGAGTCGAACGAACCGTCGTCTAGCGCTCATCGTGTGTATCCATGTTACTCTTCTAATGAATTTTCTACGCGTGAAAACAACGTGTTGCGTGCGTTGCGACGGCATAGATAATAGCGTTCGATAGACCACCGTTAATTCAATATCTTTTTTTTTTTCTTTTGTCCTTTATCATGGTTATGTACGCTCGCGGTGTTCTTTGTCCGTCGAATCGACGTGGATAAGCTGCCATTTGGATTTACTGTTGACACGGATCGACGGATGAGCTGGAAGCATGGATAATTATTGGCGCTGTTGAATCGGTGCAACGAAGAATGCAGCGTGCTGTCATGTGACCCGTAAATTCCGTTTCTATGATAGTCGCGAACGATCGTTTTCGTGGAAACTGGTTACAACAGTATTTTATGCTTCGATTGAATAATTCGTGAATAGTAATTGTTTTAATGAATTAATCTCATCAAATACGTCGAACGTTTTAAAGATATCGTAAGTAAGGTTAGGTTTTTAAACAGTGATCTGACTACATCTCGTCTTTCGTGCAATTATTATCGCGCATATTATCATTTTGTTTTTACTTTCGCGCAACAATGGCGTCATTATTATCGTTAATAATACATTGAACAGCAATCAATACAGAATTTAATTGATAATTAAACTGTTTGTGTTAAATGTTAATTTATAAGTATTGAAAGTTAGTTCATACATGCTAACAAAGTTTTATTTAAAAAATTCGTGATTTCTCGTTTATCTGGAGGATTAACGAGGCAAAGTGGTAAAATAACGAAACCTGCAGGAAGTAACGCTGGAAACGAGAATGGTGAAGGTGGCAAGTTATCAGAGGCGAGGCAGATAACGAGTTTGAAAGCTGCCGCGTGGCTAATTTAACGCGCGTTATTTTTAGTCATCTTTTTGAAATTCGATACGTCAATTTATTTTTCCATGTACCCAGGCTGCCTCTACGAAAGAACAAACCGTTCAAATTAAAATCGCTTGCTCTGAATTTACATTGACCGTGTTCCTGTTAATTATCTAATTTACGGTGGGACACGTGTGGAAACCAATGAAGAAACAATTGTTCCATAAAACATTTTTCCAAATAATCAGCAAAATGCCAGTACATATTTTAAAATTTAATGCAATTAGCGAGGTAAGCCGCGGTAAACCTAACCTCTCTTTTTGTTTCAATACACCTGTAACGAGCAATATCTGTTGTTTAACTTTATGCAACAATTTTCATCGTCATCAATAAATCATACCAGCGCGATTAAACTCAAAATCGAATATTTTCCCAGTGAATTTTTGTTTTTCAATAGAGTAAAAAAGAGACAGAGTTAGGCGTAGTGTGAAGAGCGAATTGTTTTGGCAATTCTTTTTAATGCCGTAAATCAATTGGTCGTTGGAAAGCACACATGCAGAATCGACGTATTGTTTTCGTTATCTTTATTCGAGAAGATAAATAAAAAAAATATGTATATATATATTGTGTATATATACATACATACATATATATTTCACCGCGTTCGGTTTAATTTAAATTGTAACATGAATAAAGATGGTTTCCCGGACGATATTTGCATCTCTCTCTCTCTCTCTCTCTCTCTCTCTCTCTCTCTCTCTCTCACCCGATAAAAAGTGAATTCCAATCGGCGCACGAACTTACTTTCAGTCCTGAAAATTTCACACATTTTCTGCCATGACGCAATATTCGAGATACCAGATAAGAAGAAGGAGATGCAACGTAAAAAAAAAAAAGACGAAGAAGAAAATTCGTCGAAACCCTAAAAGAACACGATCGAATGGTGTTTTGTTCCCGGGAGAAAGATACACGCGATCGTAGAGAAATATCACGTATTGCAAAAAGTTGAACGGTGCAACAATAACGAAAGATAAATAAGGAAACTCGACGTGGACGTACAACGAGCTCTGTTGAACATTTTCGGTATTTCGTTTCTGGAAGCTGTGAGTGGTTTCTTTGTTGGCAATTATATCGAGAATTACCTGGGAATTTTTGTAATTTTAATCTATTCTATTATACACAATTAT